TGGACTGTTTAGTACACACATATAAGTTGTTCCATATTTTCATATTGCAACACTACTGCAGTAAAAAATAACATTGTAGATAAATCTTTGTTCCCATTTTTATTTTTCCTGATATAAGTTATTTGAAAAGAAATTACTAGTTCAAAAAGTATGTACTTTTTAAAAGGTTTTTGATGCATGTTGCCAAATTGCTCTCCTCCATCAATGAGCATTTTATAAGTCAAGCTTAAATTGTCCAGTCTTTATTTTTTAGAATCTGATTGATAATGATTTTATGAATTATAGTTTAATATATAAATAACAAATCAGATGGAGAATAAGGAACCCATAGCATTCAGCAAAAATTATGCAGTTGAAATAACTAAAGCAGGAATTCATGGAAAGTACTATCATTCCAACTATAAAAAAAAATTCATTTGAATTTACTTAAATTCAAGATCAAAGATAGAAATTTTAAAACTATTATTTTCTCTTTTTTTTTGGGGGGGTGGTTTGCTATAGGGTGCGTGCGCTCGCCAGACAGACAGAGAGAGACAGAGAGATAGAAAACTAGAAATTACCCCCCAGGGGGGATGGTCACGCCGCAATCCCTTCTCCTTCATTCTCCTCTCGGGATCTTGGGCACGCACGCACATATGCCCGCCACGAGTTTAAGCCACCAGGTCCGGGACTCGAACTGCGGTTGACTACGTGGGAGTTCAGCGACATAGCCATTACGCTAACTGCTGGTCCCTATTTTCTCATCTTTGATTAAGGAAACTGCAATTTTTTCTTATCTCCAATTTTGTAGAACCACTGTGTTTAACCTGTGTCATAAAGCTATAGAGTTTAGCCTAAACAGAAATAGGTGGTATGGTAAACAGAATAATACTCTTCCAAGGATGTCTACACTCGAGTCTCTGGAACCAGTAAATGTGATTAGATTATCCACATGGGCCCGGTATAATCAGATGAACCCTGAAAAGTGAACTTTCTCCAAGTTTGGGAGAGAAGAGAGAGATTTCAAGCATGGAAAAGGGCTTGGC